TAAGAATAAGAATAATAATAATAATATTATTAATAATAATAATTATAAGAATAAGAATAAGAATAAGAATAATAATAATAATAATATTAATAATAATAATAATTATAATAATAATAATAAGAATAGTAATAATAATAATAATAATAATAATATTAATAATAATAATATGAATAATAATAATAATAAGAATAAGAATAAGAATAAGAATAATAATAATATTAAGAATAATAATAATAATGATAATATTAATAATAATAACAGTTTTGGGGAGCTTCGGGTTTTGAAGTCACGGAGTCGTCAGCGTTTCGCTCTCCTGCTGGCTCTTAGATCTTAAAAAACGAACGAGCAGAACCCGAAAACAGTGGAGCTCTCAATCAAGTGCTGAGAGCAAGCGAAGAGAAGCATCTGGAGATAATTCTCACCCAAGTGCGTGTGAAATCCCAAGCTTCGAGTTAAATGCCATACGCCAGTGGGCAGAATGCGGCTGAGCGACTTGCACAACATGCCTAGCTGAGTCTAGCACCGCTTGATCGACCGCCCCAGTCTTGAAGACCAAGCCCTACAGTACGAAACCGGAGACTAGTCTCGAAATTCTGAGCCCACTGCGGGTTCCTGGCTAGGGAACTGAGTTTTGAGTTGCAGCAATGAAACAAGAAGGAAAGTACAGTTTGTCAAAGTACAGTTTGTCATGTACCATTATCAGCGTAACTTGAAGTGAGTTCCGCTCTAATCTTGAATAACAACAGTTCCTGAGAGGCAGTTTCGGGTCTTGGATTGCGTGCTTTCCTTCGCACCAAATTGTCACTGAGGCGTTGCGGTGCTGGCTGTACTCAGGCAGGATTTGTTGGGGCGACTGGCAGTCTTGCTTCCGACCTGGCCATGCTCCGTAAGCCTCCCAAAGCCTGAAGTTTCATGAAAAGGACCGCAGCCAACCCCGTCCCCGCCAACCCTTAAAAAGATCTTGACCCCTAAGCCCCGAAACCCCGACAAGCCTTCCACTAAAGCTGAGAAGCCTCGGTGGCAGCGTTCATGGCAGAACTTGAGGAGTGGAGGGCCCAAAGAACACGGCCACAGCTTGGCAGGTTGATAGGACAGCGCTCTTTTGTTGTGGCTCGCTTTTTTGTGGTTGCATTGTATGGGGTTCAGGGAATATCTTGGGTTGTATATTGGGTTTTAAGTTTAAAGGGGGAAGCATTTTCAGGCCTACGTGTCGCCTCGTGGCTGAAACTCGGAAGTTTGCATCCGGCCCGGAGGGCCGGCACCGAACTTCCAGCCCCAAGCGCTTCAGAGCCAAGTTCTCCTGGGAGGTCGCTTGGGGGGATGTTGGCCAATACTCCACGAAGCTCTTCGCGGAGGAGAGAGGATGGTTTAAGGAATGTCTGGAGGCAACTTCGAACAGATAGCTTGGATTTTTTTTGAGCGGCGGCAGGGATTCCTTTCTTCAGCATGTCAGTGCTTCTTACACAGATTCTTAGCAGCGAGCTCAGCCATGTACGCCACAACCCACCCCAAGCCCCAACGAGCTCAAATCTTAGAGATCATGAGATCGAAAACCCGCTGTCAAAACCATGGGCTTGGAAGTTTTGCAGGTGTTTCGAGCTGTAGGGGGTTCTGGGACTTCGGTCGGGCTTCGGATTTAACAACTGCAATGGAAGCAGGACTGATTCTGTGAGGTGTTTTTGCTTAGCAGACGTAGAATCGGTGTTGATCTAGCACAAAGAACTCAACACCCCTAAACCCTAAACCCTAAACCCCAGTGGTTTGGGGTTGTCCTTCGTTGGAGCTACACAGCATCAAAGTGTCAGGAAGCCGTCCGCATCATCGAAGGCGCTCTGACAGCTGCTAAGTGTTCGAGCTTTTGGGTTGCCAGGACTTGACGTGAAGAGCTTAGAATCGCTTAGAGGGACTGGTAGGTGTGTGCAAAAAGCCGGGCTTAGGACGGTCTAGGGTTTCTGAAGAGTGTGTGGGCAAAGCACGAGGAGAACGGTTTCGGCAAGAAGGGCTCAAAGATGCGAGTCGACTCTGAACCGTTCGCTCAGCCGAGAAAGTCCGGAAGCAGGAAAAATCGCTGAACCTTATATGCCTTACATCACTTGGTCCATCATCACCTCAGACCCTAAACCCTGAGCCCTAAACCGTGATCATCAACACCATCCTCGTCAACAGCAGCTGCAACAACCCAAGCGCGGCCAGCTGCCCTGCAGGTCACAATGCCTCGGAGCCTTTGTTCCTCTACCAGGCATGGCAAGGCCTGCAAAGTTTCAGGGGCATGTTGAGCCTTGGGGGTCTTCGGATGTAGAGTTGATTTGGGGTTGGGGGCTTGAGGAAATTTCTGTGGGCGTGGTGAACCTTGAACCCCACACCCGCCGACAGACCTGAAGGCTTAAAGCAGGAAGGCTGAGCCTTCTATCTAAAGCCCTAAAGCCTAGAGTCAAAGCCGGTACTGCGGTTGGAAACCCTAAACCCTAAATCCTAATTAAAGCCTAGAGTCAAAGCGAAACGGGAGGCCGAGAACCCGAAAAGCTCATAGCCGCAGAGGTGTCCACTCTCCCCGAGAGGCTCCGCCGGCTTACGTGAAGCCTTATTTGTCTGGTGCTTAGTAGGGAATGGGGGAATGGGTTATAGGGACTACTATAAGGGATCTTAAGGGACTATCATAGGGATCCATTCCCCCATTCCCTACTAAGCACCAGACAGTTATGAGCAACCCAGCTTTTTCCTAGGGTTCTCGTTGAGGAATGTTATTCTAAGCTACTATAAACAGGATCGATAGCAGATACTGTGGTAAGGCATAGGTTTCTCTTAAACCTAAGTTTAAGTTACCATACAAAGGATCTACAGTATGGTGGTTTCCTTAGCAGGAACCCAGCTCTTCTGTTTGAAGGGGGTTGGCTTTCAAGTTTTGGGAGCTTGGGATTCGGGGGTTAGGGTTTCGAGGCATCGGGGGTTTGGGTTTCGGTTTCGGGGGTTTAGACGGCCATAGAAACTTTCCCAACGCATCAACAAAATTCGTCATGGAACACCTCATCAAATGTGTCAGGAGCACACACAGAAAAGGTCCGCCTCCACGCACAAGCCAGGAACCGCACCAGCCAGAAGCACAAAGCACAAGGCTAAGCACCGGCCAGGAGCCTCTGGGGTTCCCGGGGTTGGGAATAGAATAATAGAATAGTAGAATAATGGAATAATCGAATAATAGAATCACAGAATCATAGAATAACTGAGTAATAGAATAATACAATAGTAGAATAGATTCAGGGCTTTTATCGTGGCTTTAGGCTTCAGCCGCCACTCAGGGCATCCAGGCGACAGTCGCAAGTCGCGAGTTGAGATCCGATGTGACAGGGCTCACAATCCTACCTGCCAGTCGCAAGCGAATGTGAGTATATGTCAAGGTACATACACACAGTAACATCATTTGCATAATTAAAGGCCACATCCTACGCCTCTTTCTTGCAGCCTGTTCTCACTCCAAGAAAAAGAGCTTTTGACTGAGGCACACGATCGAGGATCCCGACCGGCGCACCTTTGCCGGGATGGTGACGGCAGTGGACGAAGGACGGGCTCCTCTGGGCTCGGGGCTCCCGTCCCTGGCTTCTCTCTTCAGATGTAGGGCCATTGTGGTTTTTGGGGGTGTAAGCCGGGTGGAGGGGCTCGAGGGGTTCAATTTTCAAGCTTTGGTTTCAGGAATTCGATGGTGGTCTTGCCGGGTTTGGAGTTTGGGCGCTAAGGCTGCAGTTGGTATGTTTTGGCTTTGGGCGGTTCCCTCGACTTCAGCAGTTGAGCATGCCAGGGCACGAGTGCGACGAATTTCAGAGTTCAGCGTCTAGCTAGAGCGGTCGACAGAAACCCTGAACTCAAGCGCCACACTCGCAGCGCGGAAGCCCTAAGCCCATACTAGTACCTTCGAGCCCAAAACACCTAGCCGAAGGCATTGGCAATGTCACCCGGGCTCTGGAAGCCAAAGGCATGCTCTCCGATGCCATCATCGTGGTGCCTGGATGCAGTTTGCAAAGGGGTGTTGCTTCCTTCGCTTGCCATTGGGATTGAGAGCGGCTGGTATAGAGGAGCCCAGGTTCAGCTTCCCTTGCTGGCACAAGGCCTCAATGGAAACCGCAAGACTTCAACCTGCCTCAGAGGCTTGACTGCTTCCCCTTATCCCGCCTCGTCCCCCCTAAAACCCCTAAGCCCTCAACCCTAAATCGTAAACTCGTTTATTAGGTGACCACAGACAATGGCGGCCCTGTCCACGAGTGTGCTGGCATAGGCACTGCTGGGGGTCTCTGTGAAGAGGGTTTGGGCTTTAGGGTTCAGGGCTATAGGGTTTAGGTCACGCTTTTTTCGAGGACACCCCCATATACATTCACCGTGCCTTCTATTGACGACCCAAAAGAAGCCAGAGTAGCCACCTGGCGCCCAAAGGCCAGAGTTTACAATCCGCATTTCGTGCGTGAGCAAGAAGGTATCGTGCATTTAACTCTATTCTCCATCCTGAAAAAGGCTGGGTGGTTGTTTTTCAAAGAACTTAATTTTAGATACCATAATAAGGCAAGCCCAATTATGTGTGTAGGGTAACGTAGACTAAGTAAGCTCCTTAACAAGAGCCCAGAAGAGCTTCCAGAGTTCTTGCACTCCTCAGTCCTGGACTCTAATGCAGCCTTGAAGCGATCAGAGACGCGGAGTCTCCGGTGACGGGTTTTCTGCGGCCCCTCGCCAGACAGACTTTCCGCAAGCTGTCCTGGACTCCCGAGCCCATGAACCGCTACCCTCGACAGCCGACTCATAGATCCGCAAACCTATTTTGCTGTCGAGTCCCAGTGGACCCCAAGATCCTAACAAGGACACACTAGTCACTAGTCATCCGAACCTTCGAAAACAAAGCTTCAAGCTGCCGCGACTCCGGTAACCCTGAAACCCTTAGGCCCCAACTCTCCAAAGCCCCACAAAGTCTACGCCCTTAAACTCTAAACCCTCAGCCCTAAACTCTAAACTCTGAGCCCTCAACCCTAAGCTCTAAACTCTAAACCCTCAACCCTAAACCCTAAACCCTCTTAAGCCCGAACTTCTATTTGTGCCTTTACAGGTGCTTCGAACTTCCCCCTGCGCGGAGGCAAGTGCTCCATTTGGGCACGGGCCCCAGCTCTGGGGTTTCGGGGTTGGGGTACAGGGCTCAGGGTTTAGGGTTTAGGGTTTAGGGTTTAGGGTTTAGGGTTCAGGGTTTAGGGAATAGGGTTTAGGGTTCAAGCCTCATATTTGGGGGTTGCCGAAAATAGGGACCCTAAGACAGTACCCTAAATAGTAGGATCCTTACCATGAGGACCCCGAAATAAGGTACCCTGTATTTTCGGAAACTCCCTTTTCACCCAAACCCTCCCGCTTTGAGGAGGGAGGGACGCGTGGCACGGCCATGGTCTACGCGCCGGCGGTGATGACAGAAGGCCACGGCGCGGGCAGTTGTGGGCCCCTTGCTGAAGCCTTCACTAGGTCGCCAGGCTTAACCCTGAAGCTGCCATAACCTGCCCTTCCTGTTCGAAAAAAGGGGGTTCAAGAAGCAAAGAGGCAACCCTGAGCTCTGAGCTTGAGTAGAATATCGACCAGTGCCCTATTTTAATTATTAAGGCCCCTATATCAGGTTCCTAGGGAACTTTTAAGATGGCTTTAAGATGGAACCCTAAACCCTAAACCCGTGTGAAGAGGCTTTACCTACTCCGGCTTGGTGCACGCTGCCGACTGGCTGCCCTCCTTGGTCGAAGGCCGGGTTCAGGATGTTTAGCGTCAGATCTAGGGCGAAGCTAGGGGTTGAGGAGTTATGCGAGTAGGCTATGTAGTGCAGATTGAGGATTTAAGGCAGGGTTCAGGGTTTAAGGTGTAGTTTGAGGTTGAGGATTCAGCTTGGGCTTCGCCATCCCCCAGCCTGTCTGGAAGCCCTTCGGAAGGTGTTGCCATGCAAGATGCTGCGAAGATTCCCGCTGGAGTCCCTGGGTATGACAAGCCTGCAGGCGTATGCAGTTGTAGCAGAAGAAGCTTTTGTTGGGGTGTTGATTTCCAGGACCGAGCCTAGCATGTGGAGATTGAGGTCTTCGGATTCAGGTTTCCGGATCAGCTGCCGAAAACTTGCCGCCGAACAACGTCCAAACGAAACATACTCAAGCCATCTCAAGCCATGACAACCCGAAACCCCGAAACTCCTGCCATGAACCTTTCAACCGGAATCAAGGCTACATTGCCTCTCGACGGGCTGAACCTGTGGCACGCGATTGTTGCAAACAAGACCCTTGTTTTGGGTTGGAGGGGCGACGTCGGACTTCAGCCTTTCCTAACGGCGTCAATTTTGCAGAGAGTTTATTTTTAAAAGGCATTGGTTATTGCACTCACCGGATTTGGGCGGATTCTTGTGAGGATCTCCCTAAGCCTAAACTTTGAATCTTATCATACATACCCCAGCCTTACACCCTGCCTCCGAGACCCTAGCCGCTCCTGAATCTCCTGCCACACCAGTCAATGCGAGAGTTTTCCTTGCGACGGTCTCGAAGCGGCGCTGTCGTTCGCCCATGAATCCTGGATCTTTCACGGCAATCCACAACACCGCACCTTGAAAAAGGAAAGTCCGAAAAGGCCAGTCCCAAGCCAACAGCCTCGAGGCAGCTCCATAGAGTCCATGCGGCCCCAGATTGAAGCCCTCCCGCCGATGCGCTCGAACTTCCTAAGCCAGGACCTCGCCGCGCCGGGACCTCTACTACGGCATCACGGACACCCGTGGCTGCACGTGTGCAATTTTCGGATTTTGGATCCGAGTCCCGGGCTTTGGAGCTTCTTCGGTGTTTTGGGTGTAGAGTAGGCCCCCAAACAGTTGGACCATGCTGAAGATGATGAGTGTTGGGATTCCCTATCTGCACCATAAACGCCCACTCCAACTTCTCTGGCAGATGCCCGAGATCCTCAAGCTCCAAATGCTTGAACTCCAAAACCAAAAGGCCAAAACCCCCTGAACCAGTACGCTCCCAAGCCATAAACTCAAATTAATGCCTACAACCCTAATCCGAAGTATGTTGACTCTGGGGGAGGTCGCCCTGGCATCCTTGCAGGATCAATCCGTTGGACATCACGGCCCTGCGCTGCGAAGCGCGGAGGGCTGGAAGCTGGCACCTGGCTTTGCAAAAGGTTGTTAGGGCTATCTTTATGTATAGGTCAGGTTTCATAAGGGTTTCATACGATTTAGGAATTCAGGCTTCAGGGCTTTGGTTGTGGAGTCTCGCATCAAGTGCCGAAACCTCTGAACCCAAACTTGAGATCCCGACTCTTCTATCCTGATCCGAAATCTCAACCTTCCCACCCTACCTGGAGGAAGACATGAACCTACGAGAACACCGATCAAGACCATGAACTGCTCCCATTCAAAAAGCCAATTGCTCTTTTTCTGCTCCCAGATTTGCGGCACTGGGGGCGGCACGGGCGACTGGCCCCCGCGGCCCGGAAGGTGCCTGATTTCTTCGGGTACACCTGCATTCTGGCATGTGAGCTGGTTCTGAAAAATATTTGCAGGCGGAATTTCGAGCCTTCAGCTGCCGAAGAAAGTGCTCGGATCGCAGAAGCTTCTCTCGAAGCTCCGGAAGGATAAGGCTGTCTAGGACTGTTTTGGCCGGTTGCAGGTTCCTCAACGAGTCCTCAAGAGAGCTCTCTGTGCTGGAGGGCCGGGCTCAGAATGAGCAGCTTCGCAGACATGAAAGTTGTTCAGGGTACCTATCCCTGAAATCGCCCTTAAGGTAGCCCTCTCTTGCGGTCAGGCATGCCTTTCATGTAAAGAAGGGTATGGCCAACGGCCCTTCTTTCACAAGGACTTTCGAACAACCCCAACATGGATTTGCGGTTTTGGTGTTTCAGGCTGTCGGTTCACAGGCAAACGAACCCTACTTTTGTGGCAGGCGCCATCAAGTCTCCCTGATAAGAGATTAGGACCAGAGTTTTGGAGATTTCGGATAGCCTTAGACCTGTGATCCCTGAAGCTCGAAAACCTGAACCTTTAGAAAGCTCACCCGAAATATGAACCCGCCCAGGTGTTGAAGCTTGCAAAATCCTGAGTGCTAAACCGCACACCCCCCGGCCCTGCCTTTTCAACACTTGGATAGACCCTTGCTTCTTGACCCCAGCCCGCAGCCCCTCAGTCCCTCCCTACACCCTAAAACCTGCTTTTCCTCAACCCCGACATCCTCAACCCTTAAGCCCTGAACCCTTAAATTAAAAACACCTCTGAATCCTTAAATGCCGAAAGACCGAAACAGCCGCTCAGGACGTATCTTCTGTTTGACCTCCGCGGGGATCCCGCAGAGCGCAGTGACATCAGCGCATCCCATCCGGAGACTTGCCGGGATTTGGCCTCTGAACTCCCCAAACCTTACCTACAGGCTTTGGGTGGTTTGGGTTTAGTTGTGTGGAGCTTGGAGGTTTAGAAACATTGCGATGCGCATTCTCACTGCTATTGTCATCAGACGACTATGTATGACTAGAAAATATTCCTAACGTCCGTGCTACCAGTACCGCCATCAATGTTGAAAGCTCGAGACCCAAAGCCTAAGCCCCTACAGCCGAAACCCTAAACCCTGGAAAGGAGCTCGTCCAATCTCTGTTAGCGGACCTCCGAAAGTACGAGGCGACCGCAGCGCCGCAGGTGCCACCTGCAGGGTTCTTGGGCAGTAGCTTGAGCCTTAAAAAAGCATCCTCAGTGCCGGCCTAGAGGGAATTCAGCCGACGTCCCCCGCAGCTCACAGCAGGGTTAGGCACTTGACCGCTCCCCCAGCCGGGGTTCTGGGATTCGGCATGTCAGTGCTTCACCGTAATGTCCTCTCCTCACATGATCAACAGAAGGCATTTTGAGGCAATGTGTCTCAAGCAACCGAACCGCTTCTCTCGTCACGGAGCAGTCTGGGATTTCGCCGCCCATGTTGCTTGAAACATCCAGGCTACCGGTGACCCTAGCTGCCCTCCGTTCCGACCACGCAGCGTGGACTTTGAGGGCCTTTCGGGGGGTTTGTCTAGGGTCTTCGGGGTTTGGGGTTGGCGTTTCAGGGGTGGGCTTGGCGGGTTTGAGGATTAATGTCAGGAACAACAAATAACAACAACGCATGCAAACATGAACTTTTGGGTAGGATATCCTACCTTATTTACTGAAAGAGGAGATGATGGGAGATCCCAGCCTTATGGTTGCCGTTTGCGCCCGTTTAGTCGAAGGATTATGGTTTTTATCTAAGCCCTAAACCTTAAACACTATAAACCCTATAAGCCCTAAACCTAGGAGTTCATGCGTTCCTTAAAGTGCTTCCGAGACATCTGAAATTCAGGGTTTTCGGTTTGGGATTGTTTTGGGGCTAGTGCTTTATTTTGGCGTGTCGAGCTTGTAGGGTTTACCGGTTCAGGGTCGTGAAGATTCCGACATCCTCGCTTCCAATCTTTCATAGAAGCAAATACCTAAACTCCATGAGGTCTAAGTATTTCTAAGTCACAGAAGGCCATACTGCCCTGAGCCCCCCAAACGTGAGGACTAGGCCGAACAATCCTGAACCTTAAACCCGAAGCAATGTTCAAGGACATTCGAAGTTGCGTCCCTATCTGGGACCTTGGTGCGACAAGCAGGAGATCGTCGTGTGATCTTTGATGGTGAGCGGTCGTGCGAGTTAGGGGGTCGCGTTCTTTTCATGCAGGGGTTCTGGATACCATCCCAATCAGTCTTTTGCTAGGCGACATTGCCATGCCTTGAGTGTAAATGTTGCAATCGGAGCTCTGGCATCGGAATAGCAGACGAGGAGTCAGAACACTATGTTATAGCATTGAAGAAATACAGTTCTACTTAGAGTATTCTTCTTGCTCAACCGAAGTTGTTAAGTTGCTTCTCGGCATGTACAGCTCCACTTGCCTGCCGTCGATTGGACAGAGGCATGCCGGTCCCCGCGGTTTCAAAAGTTCGCGATGGGTTCGGAGCAGACTTCTGTTGTAGGAGGGTCAACGGTTTTGAAGGTTCCAGAGCTCGCCTTCTAGTATGACTCATCAATCGTAGCGGTCTTCATTCATGAATCCCACCAGGCTTACATCAAGCGCGACATGCCAAATCACGGCTTCCCCCGCAGCGGATCGGTCCTGGATAGGTCGAGCATCTCTGGGTATCAGAACTTGGGGTAACCTCCGGCTGTTTTGCAACCTTGCGAATCTCCGGCATGTGCCATGAGTTGATCCTGCTGATACTCTTCCCAAAGCAATGCTGCTGCTGCTGCAGCAGCTACTGTTGCGGCTACCTAGTACGGCTGAGTTGGCCTCACTGCCTTCATGCAGGGGCAGTTTCCTCAAGCAAGCGCCAAAGCCGTCCGAAGCCGTCTGGCTGCTCAGCACAGAGACACATGAAATCCTTATTTTGGGGCCCTTATAATAAGGATCCTAGTATTTAGGGTACTCTATTAGGGTCCCCTATTTTAGGAAATCGGAGGCGAGAGGTCAAGTCTCGCCCCGAGCCCCGAAGCTGCAGACCCGAAGCCCCAACCCGACAAACTTCGTCCCAAACCTTGCACCCTGGTTTTGGGGAGCAATAGCACGGAAGAAAGGCTAGGGCTTGAAAGTTTGTGGCTAAGTGGTCCTCAAGCAGCATGCTTCCACCCAGCTAAAGAACTTCGGGAAGCTTCCTTGCGACGTAGAAACCCAAGCAGGGTTATAATTAAGGATACCGTACTTCTATTTACTCATAACCCCAATTAAGGGACTTATCACCTTACTTACTAAGTCCCATGATCCTCCAAGCAGACCAAAGACTGATCAGGTGGCACCCTAAATTCCCGAACCCGCTACTTGGCGTCGGCAGATATTTGCAGCGACTCGCGTTGACGGACGACATGGGGCAGCTCAGAGCAACAAAGGTACAGCTTGGAGCTTGAGACGGTTGGGCCTGGGTGCTAGTTTTAGCTGGCCTCTTGATTCCTCAGCCATCGTATGCCCTCAGCACAGCTTTTGAGCCAAGCTGCTGAACTCCAGGCAATCCCCACCAAACGACACACGACCCCTTCAATATTGCTCTGCGAAAACCGGAATTCGGAATAGCAACGCAAACGCTCGAAAGTTGCGAGAGAGCATACCGACACCTGGTTTCCGGAGATGAAACCTAAATCCCCGAGTCAAGGAAAGAGGTTAAAGCCGTCCATGTAGATTTTTTCAGCAGCTTTCCAAGTCACGATCACGAGCAGGTCAAACAGTTTACGTCTTCTCTCCAATCCGAAGCCAAAGGGTCCATGTACCGTGATAGTAGTAGATACTTTGACCCCAAAGGACCCAAATAGGGACTCCTTTAAGGCCAAAGTATCTACTATTTGGGAACATGGACCCTTAGGGGAAGCCGCAGCCGAAACCCAGGGGAGGCCTTGTACTCGGTGAAGGCTCCGTTTGAAGTGTCCCATTGCAGTCTTATGATCACGAAAAAGCTTAAGCCCAAGCCACCGTGCTTCGGAACAGCCCTAAACCCCCAAACCCCAAACCCTAAGCCATGAACACGAAACTCACTAAACTTTAGGTATGTGGCCGGCTTGCTTTGTGCCCTCGGGGCGGCCGTTGCGTTTGGGGTACAGTCGGGGCCCTGGACCTGTCCCAGAGACTTCATCCGAGTTGTTGGGTTCAGGGGGCTCTCGCTCCCTAAGCCCTAAACCCTAAACCCTGAAAACCCAAAACACAGCTCGTTCGACAAGTTGCCTGCCGTTGAAACCGTTGGGCGTGGCGGTGGAGTCTGTGTGACTTTGGGTTTGGAGATTCTCGCGACGAGGGATCCTAGTTTCAGAGTTTAGGGTTCAGGGTTTAGGTGTTTAGGATGTGGGTTGCAGGAGCCTTGGTGCTCCGAACAATATACGTCAAGAAAGTGTCTCAGTACTCCTCTGAAGCCTGAGTCTTTGAAACTCGAAGCCGGTGCCTTGCGCTTTCGGTCGGCTTAGCGCCGATACTGATACTGCAGAGTTCGTATTTGGAGACTCTTGGCTTTGGGGATTTGAAGATTTCCTAACTGAAGAGCTTCCCTCGTCAGCGAGAGCTCGAGTTTTTGCCTCAAAGGACCCGATCGGAATCTCTGTTTGTTGCAGGAGCTCAGGGCCCCTTCACTGTCCCGATATAACTCTCTCTCTCTCTCGCTCCTTCTCTCTCGCTCCTTCTCTCTCTCCCCTTCTCTCTCTCCCCTTCTCTCTCTCTCTCCCCTTCTCTCTCTCTCCCCTTCTCTCTCTCCCCTTCTCTCTCTCCCCTTCTCTCTCTCCCCTTCTCTCTCTCCCCTTCTCTCTCTCTCTCTGTCTCTCTCTCTCTCTCTCTCTCTCTCTCTATGGACCAGTACTCCATTCATCTATTGAGGCGCCCTTGTTATCTCAGCGCAAACTCACGCAACGAAGCAACAGCTGTATCTTGAACGAATCACCTGCAGATACGTGCCCGTCAAGAAATACGAAATCTTCGATGGAGTGACCTTCCAGTGGTTTATGTGCGCTGGGATTCTCATGGCGTCCTGACTGCATTTAACGATTCCTTCAGCATTGCTGACCTATGATCCTTACAGTCAAAGCGGGCTCGAGAATCCTGAACTAAACGTAAAACTTAGGACCACAAAGTAGCTAAACCCGAGAACCTCGTAGACCCTCGGGCGACCCCCTCAGCCAGAGTACAAATAATGTGCTCTCCGTAGGCATTTTGTTTGTTTGGTATTCCACCACTATAAACACCAGGGGTTATTGAACATATTCGTTTCTATTCTGAACCGAATATAGGCTGTAGACTATTGCAAAACCAGAATCCAGTAGAAGATATGACCCTAAATCCTAAACCCTAAACCCCTACACCCTAAACCCCTAAGCCCCTAAACCGTAAAGCAAAAGTTCTGGACCCAGAAACCTCAACCTTGATCTGATGTTGACCCGGAAACCCAAGCGCAGCTTCCTGAATTTCTGAAGCCAGAGACCCCAATCTTTATCTTGACACCCTTAATGCAGCTCATCCTATGTTTCCTGAAGTCCTACAGCGATTTTTCTACCAAGACCCTAACCGCAAACCCTAAGCCCTAAACCCTAGGGCCGTTCATATCATCTGAAAGCCCGGAAGCCTCGATCCAAGAACCCTGAAGCCCCTAAGCCGCTCACGTACCAACCCAAAGGCTCCATGTACCTATATAGTATATACTTAGGCCTTAGGGGGCTCCCATACAGGTACTTTAAGACCTATGTATATACTATGCAGCCACATGGAGCCTTAGGGCAAGCTCCCAGCCCCAGACCCCAAGCCTAAACCAGACTTAACAGCGGCTCATCTCATAAGAGGGATTTCGAAACCCGAAAAATCCGGCCGGAGGGTTCCTGAATACGAGCAACATGTACTATTCCAGCCAACCCCCCAATTATTCCAGTTCTTAAAGCCCTGTACAGCCACGTATGGTATACAGCTACTGCCTCGGGCTCCTTAACACAAGTATAGTGTGACGAAAGTCCCGCTCATCGCATTGCCCTGCCTAAACCCTGAACCCTAATGACACCCGAAGCCCTAAATCCTCATGACGCCCTAAATTTACGCCCTAAATCCTAAACCTTAACCCCCAAAGCCTAAACAATAAACCCTAAACCCCAAATCCTAAACCCTAAGCCCCACAGCCTACAGCCGAAGTATTCCTCTTGGAGCTCTGAGGTTGGCTTCGTGTCCTCGCTGATCTTCGGCAGCTTTGCTGGAAGAGCGTTTATTTTTTTTTTTGTTGGGGGGGGG